TTAAACCTGCCTTTTTGTGTAATCTACAAAATTTTATAAACGGCAGAGGCGATGAACTTTGCCCAAGAAGGTAAACGGACGTCGAATACGACGTTGAATTTGACAGACCCAGAACATCGCGCATAGTGCGTCAGTCAAGAAAGCTCGTAAATCATGCGATAACACAAAAATCAAGAACATACTAACAAAAAACTTTCCATCAAAATGTTCCAGTGACACGTCATCAGACTCATGCAATCTATGTATTATACAGATGCAGCCACTACTCACCAATACACCTGCCACTGAAAACGCAATTTTGACTGATAGAAATAACTGATCTACAGTACACTACTACATCCAGAAAATCACGAATTCACCTGAAATGGTAGTCGGACGTAACAATATTAACATTATATGCAAGCAAACTGCAACGATATCCATCTGTATATCTCAGATACTCTATTGGGTATTTTAACAATTTATAAATTAGCTAGTCATGCCTGGGCTTATTTTTCCGATTCATCTGTTTTGTGTTCACATGTTCACATCACTAAGTCATTGCTTTCCCTATGACTCAAACGCGCTTTAACTTTTGATTCAAGCTACTAACAGCAAGAATATTGGCTGGAAATTAGATTTCGTTGATAATTTACTCAAATGGACATTGCTTCTAAGTAGTACTTGGGTAGTTTCACCGTTGTGCTATTCAATGCCCAATCCGGAAAAATATAAGCACCATGTTGCATCTGCATGCGATACACACAAGACCAGTTTACTTTCTCAAATTTGTTTTTAACGGATTCGTGTAATGGATTAATGCTGGTGTCAAAAAAGAATTTAATTAGCTGTTCAGTTATAAATATACTTTTAAACAAGAAAAAAACCATATTAGGCACGACCACCAGTCCATTTGTTATTGAACATTGTCACGATGTAACAGAAGTATTCAGGGAAAGTTAACTGAAATTGTTTCTTTTTTGCACACTTTAGGCCAGTGCTATCAGCGTGGTCTGAATGCCTAGGATTTAATTGCCTTGCAATCGCTATTTTCATAATTCTTATTTTAAAGTAAATGTGTCTGCCGAGCTAATCATAACCGCTTTCATCACGTTTGTAACAAGTCATCAAACAAAGTATAACATGTCGTGCAGGAGATTTATCATAATGAGAAGTGAAGTAGAAGACCATGGGTACAAGATGGGTGCAGTATTTCTTAGGATTCAGCTGCGATCCCTTCAAGATTACTTAAGCAATAAATGATGGCCTTTTTCCTTTAATGAAATATTTGCGAAATTCAACTCCAAACCATCATTTTATTATAAGTGAAATAGCCTCTAGAAGAAAGGATCTGTAAGTACTGGGGTTAGTTTCAAGCAGTGGTCTATCTTTGACAGATGTTACGTCGATTTGTGAACTTGGGAGAGCACAATGAATTCTAAAAACTGGTAAGGCTACGTTGGTTCGTGCTGCGAATACTGCAACTGAATAGGGAATTTCAGTCGTTCTGCTTTTAATGAAATGCGGCAAATAAACAATTTGATTTTGCAGCTAACATAAACCAATTGCCGAAAATGACTTTGGCACTATTGAAACACTCTAAATTCAATATGAAGAAGATTTCCATCCACTATGTTTCGTCCCCCCGAGATACCAACTCTTTGCGTTGTGTATGATTAATCTGTTTTGTATCTGATCTCTGCGTAAGATGTGCGCATCTTGATCGGATTATGTTGGTAGGAAGAAAAAATTTTGCGGCACCCTCGAAAACAATCAATGCAGACGAAACTATTTCCGCCTTGCTTAACCTGATTTATATTAGGAGTCACATCATTATACGACGCCCTGTCGTTGTTTCTAAAAGCATATTCAATGACAAAGCGAGAATTTCGAAATGGTCAGAGTAGAACATGCATTTTGTGATAATCATATGCACGAGTAAGCCTCCCTCTCAATCATAAAAATTTTGTTGCTGCACGTCTCTAATGCACTGTGTAAAAAACTGATTCTTTGCTGACTGAACAAGATCACCATATGATTTGTTTCCCAGTATAGAAAAAACGACATACACTGAAGCAACTTGATTGCAATTAAGTTCAGCTTATAAAAGCTCGGATGTCATGCGCTGGAACCGATAAATGAGCTGTCAAATAGTAGGTTTGGAGTCTTGTGATTTCCTGAATGATCCGGAGCAGAAATATAGGATTTATAACTTCACCCAACAAAAATACTGAACAGGTTGAAGGACGAGTATGCTTCATGGAATTTGATAGCATGCTTATTTAGTTGCCGAATACACTTGGCAATTAGTGCTGATCGTCAGATTTCAGGGAATTATTTAGACAAATATTTGCAGTTAATAAATCAGTGCAGTTTCTTGAACCGCCGTCACTTGCACTGGTGTCACTGTTTGTGAATATGATAGTTTTGGTTTTCTTCTTTCCTGCCGTGTCACCCGTATCTACTTCTGCTGTTTTCAACCTCGAGGCATTTAATCAAAAAATTGAATCGAATTCAAACCTTTCAATTAAATTTTAGCTAGTATTAGTATTCCTTTCCTGATATTGGCCCACAGCATTTCAGAACTTCGTTAAAAGAGAGTGAAAGAACCTGCTGCCCAAATGGCTGACCAACCAACTTTTAAATATATGCGACAGGTGTTTTGCATTTTAAGATGCAATATCGTTAACAATATTGCTCAAAACTCAAAATTCACTTCTTGAATTTGTGATAAATTAATTAAATAATAAAAGACCACTTTAGTGTGTCTAATGTACTTAATCATTATACTTATCAGCAACTGAAAGTTTCAGATAAGTTACTTTTTGAAATCGTACACAATTTTTGGAACATTTAACTTTGTCAGTCTATATGGGATTTTAAAAAGGTTTCGATTATTTTTATTGAATACGAAAGTTGAATTGAATAACTGTAACTGATGCGCAAGAACATGCGTGAAGGGCATAACATTACTACGAAAATGCGATTCGCTGCTCTACCACTGAACTGAACAGCACCTCAATCTGTTTTTTATAGCGTTGATTATTGCAGAAAATTCTTGAAACACAGCTTGTGCAATTGTGATTTCCTTTAGATTTAGAAAGACTTTTATCAGTTTCATAATACATTTTAGTAATATACTGTTTAAATGAGAAATAATAGATAAATTTTTTTGCCGAATCCATATATAAAAAGTTATCAGGATTCTGCCAGTGTTTTGAAATTGTAGCGTTGTCCGACTTTTGCAGATGATTTCAGCATGTGGGTAAACATCACAAAATGCTTCTCTTCTCTGAATCCGATGGATTGTAAAAAGGGTAATGGAACGAAACATCAGCTACAGATTGTAAAATTACATTCTGTCTACATTCGTATAGAACTGAGCTCTGATTAAATGATTCAGTGAAGAAGGTCTCACATTATAAACCCCGCTGAGAAATTTCTACCTGATGGTGCTTTTTATATTGTTCTTTTAAGATTTTTTAACAGTGTTTTTCATTGCAAGTTGCTTGAGAACAAGATCCGAAACGTTGGAGCATGTGTGTGCAATAATTCTGCTAAATAGTGTCATCCTTTAAAGAATTTCTAATAAGAATGTCTCATTTTTGAAAAAAAATGTCTCAGTGTAATAACTGCCTGGTTGGGTGTAAGATGACAGCTCTCCCTGAACTTCGCTGTGTTCTTCACTTTAAATTGACAGTTTCTACTAGTTATTCTCGTTGCTTTTACGGTTAAAATTATGCGTTTCTAATAGACTGGAAGAAAATCTTTGTTAGTCGATTCTCCATGTATCACATAAACGGTGCTTTCATATTCTGTGAAATTGCAAAACGAGGTTTCAAGGTCATCAGCAAAATTAACTTTAAACAGGATAGTGCATTACTACTTTATGCCAGGTTTCCCAGGGGCACACAGTTAATGAAGTGCAAAAGCGATTGTCATATTTGTCGTCGCACTGCGGAAAACTAATGTGCAAAAGTATGAGCGGCCGACCTTGACACCGACCGGTGCCAAACTCGCTCTAGGGAGCGTATATTTTGAACTTCGCGGTCTACGCTGAAACTTTGGTAACAACGTCATTATTCAAATTATATTGAGCGCATTTAATGAAGGTTAGCGCTTCTCTCAGTCTGAACGTGACAAAGAGAAGGAGTATATGGCAATGCTTCAAATATTGGAGATATGGGGGAAGAGGTTCATGCATTATTTGAACAAATATTTTGACAGTTTTCGACATAATGTAACAGGACTCTTAGAGACTTGAAAAATTCTTCTATCTAATCTGATATCTGATCATAGTGTACTGGCTGTTGTTTTCATGATTTTGGATATTCAGTTTATTTCTAGTTATAAAAATTTGAATGAATTAATTAAAACTGACTGCTTGAATGAAATCAAAGTCGTACTTTATTTTTCAGCAAACAGAGCAATACAATTGCACGAAAACATTGTGCACAGTACGAAGCACACTATTACAGGAAAAGGAACCGCAGTTTGACTCTTGGAGTAGGAAGATACAGCAACTAAATGAACTAAATATAGCCGCAAGTTAAACGAAAACGGGAGAAAATTATGCAACATTGATCAAGTTTTTGATTATACTGTCTAACGTAACTGAAATTTTAAAGAAAGCTCTCTGAAATTGGGATCACAGATTTACATTTGCAGGCACACTATAATATTTGGATTTTGTGCATATAAGATTCGTGAAAGGTATTTCACATGCAATGCAGTGATGATCGCTATTACTGATGATATTCTGACCATGCGAATCAGAACTTTGAAATCACTCAGTCAACAACTAGCCGAAGTAGATCATTATGAGGAATTCTGAGTACTGTAGAATCATGTCACAATGATTGGTTCATAATCTTTAAATCACCTGTTAGTAGGAGAGGAAATGCGACTCTCAATGTATAGGTGCGCGTGCCAGAATAGAGATGAATAACAACTGTTTGGCAAGTTTCTATGTCGCTTAAATCACAACTGAGTGCCTAGCGAAAGCTGTTACTTCTACTCAAAGAAAATGCTTTGTTGTCTGAAGAAGCTTCAAGTCGAACAGCACCAGTTTAACATATTTAAAATGAATTAAAAGTGGATTGACGCGTACGTGGCCACCGTCAAATTTGAAGCAAGATCCGAAGCGATCCAGCATATTTTGGTGGTAAATTACATGTAAGAAAAGCTGAGCATGAAATTATTCCCCGTGGGAATGACGAGCCTTATTGGAACCACGGTTCTCTGGTGGGAGCTAAAATATGTCAGATGGTGCTATGGTAAATGTATATTTTGAGACAAAGCAACTAGAAAAATAATACAGCAATATTTAATAACGCATGGCTCAAAAAGTAATATGGTCAAATTCGCGAAATTATTTCACCCACTAACCTTGAAAAAGCCGTGAGACACGACCGAAACGTCGGTATTGTCTCGTAACCGGACTGACAATATTATTTTTTGTGCTTTGTATTGTTAAACAGTTTTGTGCTGTTTTTTCAATATTGCAAGGTTGAAACAACTTTGCGATGCAACACCGGAAACAATCTGAGTTAATCGATTATGCCTCATCCAGCCAGTTCATTTTATTGCCTGTTTGTTCCGTTATTACGGCTTCTGATATCTTGCTTTTCCCCATTGGTTCGCTTTTTGAATTATCCTGATGAATTCCTGTTAGATTACATGGTTCCTTTCGATGCTGTGTTCTTCTACCACCACTGAACTTTTCCTATGGTGGTGGGGTTAAACTGCATCCGGAAATTTCTTAGGTTCGGAGCTGGTACATGATGGATTTCGCGTATATCGGTGAGTGATGTACCATCTGACCTGAATAGGTTACCTGCAGTAAATCGCTCTCATGGTGTCTCAGTCCTTGTACACTATCACGACCAGAAACGGAAAATTATCATACTTTTTGAGTTAATACGTGAAATGAATGCTCTCTTGGATGTCGTACGGGTATTCCTGCAGGTCGTTATGCCTGCTGTGTCCATGTTGCCACAGTACCGAAATTCTTGCGCATTTATGCCATTCTTTTCAACGAAACACCGATGCTCCCATTGCCATTTTTTATTATTTTATGTATATTTCAGCAGCGGTTGTAGGCAAAGGAGTTCCCATGGTTGTTGTTGTCATTGTTATCTGAGGTATCAGGGTGAAGGACCGAGGACCCCCGAGAATTAAACATTCAGTCTGATGTTCTGGTTTCTCAGAGTGATTTAAGCGATGCTGACTGCTGCGACAAGGGTGATGTTTTTTGTCTTCCGCCTTTATCAGCTGCTTCAGAGTGTGAAATTGGCCTCTGATGTGCTTGCGACATTTCTGGCTTTCCAGAGGAGAACGGTTTTGGATAAGTGTTCTTCCATTCGCCGCATGGTTTTGTCAAAACGTGACAAACGCCGGTGCCTAACATCTTCACACAGCATTCTCAGACCGATCATCTCCAAGAACTTTTCATTTGACGTTCGATGGGACTACAGAGCTTTTAGAACGGTCCGCAAGTGTACAACGTATTTTCATGACGCTTTAAAAGAGTTGATGCTTCAAGGCTATATATCAGGACTGAAAAGACGGTCGCTTTCAGTATGGCGATCAGCGATCTTCGTTGGTGTCCGGATGGATTGGCATTGCTACTATTTGGAAATTCGCCCGAAGTTCGCAGATGCCAACCCAAAGCACCGCTCTACCTTCATATCGCAGCTTTGATCTCTTGCCAGTACAGAGACTCTTGCCAGTACTTGACGTTTTCGACTTTCTTTATGAACTTTCCACTCCACTGAATCTGGGTCATTAGTCGAACTCGTGTGTTCGCAAAATCTACGTTTTGATGGGGTTTACTTCTAGGCCTAGGATAATTGCTAGGTACCTTCGGCTAAATCATCATCTGATAGTAAATCTCTGGCTGTTTTCGGGGAGATACTCCTCCGCATCGCATAATCCACCAACTTGTTGAATAATAGAGGTGAAAGCATCTCTCCTTGGTACACTTCACTGCTGATATTAAATCAGTCCGACAATAGCGAAGACTTCTGCTCTGACGGCACCTTTAGTGTCTTCGTACAGACCTTTCGGCAGACGGATGATCTTCTGCGGTACTCTATAAAGGCACAGTGTGCGTCACAAGGACTGACAGTGCACTGAGTCGAAAGCTGCTCGAAAATCAAGGAATGCTACCTGCGAGGGTAGTTGGAAGCTCCTTCCCTTTTCGATAATCTTCCTTAGTGCGGCGATGTTGTCCTTACACAAGGATCCAATTCGAAACCCTGTTTGATTTGATCGACGCGAATCATCAACTGCGTTCTTCAGTCTTCAGAGGAGGATTCGCCTGAATACCTTTCCCAACACAGGCAGAAGCGCAATCTCACAGTAGATGACGCAAGCAGAACATTTTCCTCGTTGGAATATGGGAATGATCCCGCCCTGCTTCCAGTTCCCAACGATTTCCGAAGTCCGCCTGATGCTATCAAAAGCCTGATTGATTCAGTTGTGGGGTTTCGCCTGGGCACTGGATTTCAGAATTTCCACAGTATTCTGCCGTGCCTGCAGGATTTCGAACATCGAAAGAGTTTCGGACTTCATCTTTCAATATAGCGGAGCAGTCAATTTCCACTTCTTCTCGGTTTTCGAGTTCTATTTCCAGATCATTCACTGGACTCACAACTTTAGCCGGTTTAGGAGCTCTTCGAAGTGCTCAGTCCATCTCCTCTGACGGTTGTCTGAATTTGAAAAGGGCTCATTTGGCTTGTCGCCATTGGTGATGTTGTAGACTTGCTATACAGCATCTTCCAATCCTTCTTCAAGGCCGTCTGTTTCAGGTTCTGCACTTCGAGCCTCAGTCGCTTGAGCGGTAACTCCTGTTGACTGCTTTCACGAGCTGTTGAAACTCTCGCTTCCTCGTCTCTACAAGGCGCTGTAAGAACTCCTACTTCCTCGCATTTCTTCCTTGGCGAAGAGTGAGGGATTCTGCCGAGACCCACGTATGCTTCATCTTTTTGCGTAGGCCAAGTATATTTGCTGCGGCACCGACGACCAGTGGAGCTACTCGGAGTCATTGCAGGTCATGTCTTGGAACGCAGCGCAAGTTTCTGAATCTTTTAACTTGGTGGTGTACTATTTGGTGTTCGACCCTTTCCGTACTGTTCTACAGAGCGTTGAACAATTTATGGCGGAGCTTGGCGAAGTGGCCCGAACAATATTCAGCTCTGCGTCGTGCCTGGGTGTCGTAAACGTCGCTTCGGAACTTCCTGCTTACAGTATGTGGTGCAATAGGCACTTGAAGCGATGCTATCCACGTCAGCTGGTGGATTTGACGGTGGGGGGGGGGCAACGCATCGCCGACGACGAGGCCATCGTAGAACAATGGTATAACAGCCTCGACCATTGTCATTCAGTATCCAGGAACCATGACGTTGGCCCATCACATGATGCCAGTTGGAATTGTTCCTGCCGACCTGCCCGTTCATATCACCTGCAATGATTGATAATCGATGGTGCAGAAAAGAACCGAAAACTGAGTTTAAACACGTGTGAAACTAGTCCTTCCTTTGATCGTCCGCGACGTTGGTGAGAGAGAGGGGGCATACGTCAACAGTGTTAGAATTAACATGTTTTGTTCCAAGACGGCAAACGAGCATTCGATAGGTCGTGTGCTCAACAATGATCGAGCCGTCCACTGCT